CGAAATTAAATCACTAAATTGCTAATTTATTTCTCAGTTTGATTAATTTCATAATTTTAGTAGTTGCTACTTGCTAAATATTTCTTTCTTTAATTTAAAAAGAAGAATCTAAAATTATTGATAACTTAATCTTGTATAGTTTGGAATTGCTAATTTGATTTTAATTACAGTTTATTAGAGTTAATTGAGAAAAAAAAATTGAAATATTTATTGTGTTTTCTTGATTTGAATCTTATAGTCAAAAGAGATGGATTTAGATGTTTGCTGCCATTAAGTCATCAATGGAGAATAAGCATGGGATTGTTGATCAATGACAATGCAAATAAAGTTTTCTATTTGTTATTGTTTACAAGGTTTATATATTATTTTATATTCTTGCTTCAAATTCTAGTGATTATTAGTTTGTTGGTGTATATTATTTTTTCTTCATTCCATTTTTGAAGTGGTTGAATTTGGCTACTAATTATTGTTCTATTTGGGATTACTTGGGATTGGTTGTATTTTGTTATTCTTTATGTCCTAGATGTGTTTGTTTTTTTATATATAATATAGTTGGTGATTTAGCTTATCTTATAGGTTTTTGTTGGTTATATTATATTGTACTAATATAATCGAAAACTTTGTATCGGCTAATTTTCTGTTGGTAAATTTTTATTGTTCGCTAAAATTTATGGTTCAGAAAAAAGGAAGAATTGATTTTTTTTCAAGAATTAAAGATTTACTAGATTGTTGCGTTTGATTATAGTTTGATGAGAGTGTTAAATTTTAGGTGTTGCAAGCTTTAGTTTTATATGGATATATGGATAAGAAGGTTTTTAAAAAATGTATTATAGTTTAGTATTATAAAAATGATAATATGTGCAATCAGTAATTGGTGGCTCTTAATTTGTTAATGGTTGCTTTATCCTTGTATCCACCATTCTTTTGACCTTGTAAATCAACATGTTTTTAATGGGAGAAAGAGAACAATAAGATAGACCCATGTCATCAGAAGAATATGCAAAAGACATCAAAATGACAAGTAGAATGAAAAATGTCGATATTGCCCTTGAAATATTCATGGAAGTTGCAACAAAACGAAACAAGAACACCTCTACTTTCAATGCTCTCTTGGGTGCTTATATATGGAAGATACAACAAATCCCACATCAGCTACATTTGTAAGATGCTCATATCACTTTTGGCCATCGACTTCTCGTAGATCAAATGGAGGATCCTTCCAAGAAATGAAAGATTTCAATATTGTCCCTAATTTGACCACATATAATTATTTGATCTTGGGTTATCTCACCTCATGGATGTGGGACACTATGGAGAATACCGTACCAAATACTTGAAACCGGGTCGATCCAAACTGATTGTGATACCCGTTTGCTAATGCTTTGCGGGTATGCACATTTCAGCTAATTTGGAAAAAATGGAAGAGATCTATAATAGGGTTGATGTGCAAGCATGAGTAAGGAATTTCATCGTAGAGGATATTTTTGTAATTTTCATTTATCAATTCCTTATGGATAAAGTGTTGTTTCGATAAATAACATTTTAAAATGTTTGCAAAAACAACGGGCACACTTAGGGAAATGGAAGGGAAAATAGATAAAGGTAAATTTGTAAAAAGTAAGGGCTTACAGAAAAAGTTATCGTTTACAATAAATCAAAAAAAATGGGACAATATTTTTATTCTTCCCACTTGGTTAAATTTTTATTCTTCCCATTAAATCGAAATCGAAATGGGACAGTATAAACCCACCGGGTTAAATTTTTATTCTTCCCTTGAAATCGAGATGGAAGAGAAATTCTCATAGCTACAATGTCGTTTGCTAGTGACTCAAAAAATCTTTTTTAAGGCATGTTGCTTTGAAAATTTTACTCAATCATAGCATTATAATTTCTCAAACTTTTTGTCTTATTAGACCATTATGCTTTAAAAAATCTACATAAACTTTAGCAATGAAAACTGTAGTATGAAAAATGGAAATATGATACTATGATAAATAAACCAATGAAAATTTTTTGTTATTTATTGTATTTAACCCTTTCAAAAGATTAATAAGATAAAAAAACATTAAATCAAGAATCTTCACAATGCATAAGAATTTCTTTGTCGATTATAGCTAATACTTTGAACACCTCCATCACATCTTTTTAAATAAAAACATTACTTTATCCATAAGAACTGAGAGGCGGTGGTTTACCATGCGGCCATGTAGTTTATAAAAAATCAGTCTTTTTACACTACTAGAAAAAGGAGGGATTTCCTACGGATATTTCCGAGGAAAATGAATTTCTCGGTATTACCTACCAATTACCGAGGAAATGCTTAGGAACAACCATAAACGCGTTTTCCTTGGAAATCTCTCGGAAGTTCCTACACTTTTCTTAGGATATTTATAAATGCCCAACTTTCCTCGGTATTTCCTTAGTAATATTTTTTTTAACAATTTTTTTTTGTAACAACAAAAACATATCGAGTTTATGTAGGGAATACACTCATTGTTCCTACATTTTTCCCATGGAAGTTGTACTAACTACACTTTCCTCGGTATTTCCTACGCTTTTCCTAGGATCTTTATCAATACCCAAATTTCCTCGGTATTTCCTTAGTAATATTTTTTTAACATTTTTTTCCCCTTGTAACAAAATAAATCATATCGAGTTTAGTAGAGAATCCAGTCATTGTCCCTACATTTTTTTCCCTTGTAACAAAACAAATCATATCGAGTTTAGTAGAGAATACACCACCATAACACATTACTCAAAGCATTTGTTTATTATTATATATTCTATATATTGTATGTGCATATATGTATGTTTACGTATGTGTATAATACATATTTTGGTAAGATAAAAGTATTTCATGTATAACAAAGTTCCACAAAATATGGAACAAAAAACAGAACGTTTGAACCTATAAAAATGAAAAAAACGTGTTTGCTTTCTAGGAAATTCCTTGGAATTTCATATGCATTTCCTAGAAATTTGTGACGAATAATGTCTTTCCTAGGAAATCCATCGGAACTTCACAAATTTTTCCTAGGGATTTCCTAGAAACGTAGTCCATTTTCTAATATTAAAAGTTGAAACATATATTTTTTTGTTCAATATTGTGCACAACATCATTATACATGAAATGATTTTAGTTTACCAAGTTATACATGATATATACATAAGTAAATGTGCGCACCACCATAACACCTTACTCGAAACATTTGTTTATGATTATATATTCTATATAGTGTATGTGTACATATTTATGTTTATGTATGTGCATAATTCATATGTTGGTAAGATAAAAGTATTTCATGTATAACAAAGTTTCACAAAGTATGGAACGCATAAAAAATAATAAAAATGAAAAAATGAGTTTGATTCCTAATAAATCCCTTGGAACTTCCTATGCATTTCCCTTAAATTTGTGACGACTAATGTATTTCCTCGGAAATCCATCGGAAATTCCCACAAATTTCCTATGGATTTCCTAGGAACATAATCCATTTTTTAATATTAAAATACGAAACATTTATTTTTTTCATTCAATATTTTGTACAACTTCATTATATATTAATTGTTTTTAGTTTACCAACTTATGCGATGATATATACTTACGTAAGTATGCACACCACCATAACACATTACTCAAAAAAGACGGCCCAACATATGACTTGGCATGCAGATCATCGTAGACAACCAGGAAAGATGATACATCCTAGTGAAGGTTAGGCTTGGAACCATTTTGACTCGATCTTTCCTGATTTTGCACGAGAGACGCGAAATGTTCGTCTCGGGTTGTGTACTGATGGGTTTAGTCCAAATAATTCAAACACGACCCCGTATTCATGTTGGCCAGTGTTTATTACGGTTTACAACCTCCCTCCTTGGTTGGCCTTGAAAGAGCAGTACATACAAATTCCTGTGCTCATTCCTGGTCCGAACAATCCGGGACAAAATTTGGACGTTTTTTTACAACCTCTAATAGACGAGCTGAAAATGTTGTTCAAGGATGGAATTGAAACTTATGATGCATACCGAAGGAGCAATTTCCAAATGAAAGCCGTATTGCTATGGACAATTAGTGATTTCCCAGCTTATGGAATGTTGTCTGGATGGAGCACGCATGGTAAGTTAGCTTGCCCATATTGTTCGGCTGAAGCAGGAGCATTCCAACTTCATTTTGGAGGGAAACCATGTTGGTTTGACTGTCATAGACAATTTCTTCCTGTTGGACACAAGTTCCTAAAAGATAAGATAAACTTTCGGAAAAATAGAACGGTCAAAAGAGCAACACTATCGAATCCAACAGGAGAGGAGATTTGGCAGACTATCCAACATTTTCCTACCGTTTATGAAGGTACCCCCTTTAATACGACATATAAAAAACAAGATGGTTTTGGAGTTAAACATAATTGGGTAAAGAGAAGCATCTTTTGAGAGCTACCATATTGGAGCAAATTGTTGATCCGACATAATTTCGATGTGATGCATATCGAGAAAAACTTTTTTGAGAATCTATTTCACACAAGTATGGGCACCTCCAAATCTAAAGACAATATAAAGGCAAGGCAAGACATTGAGGTTCTTTGTGACCGACCTCTATTAAACCCCTATTATGATAACAATGGAAAGATGACCAAAGATAGGGGAAATTACACTCTGGAAAGAAGTAACGTTAAAAAAGTTTGTGCATGGTTAAAAAAGCTCAAATTTCCAGACGGGTATGCTTCAAACATAGGGAATTGTGTAAACATCAAAGATTACAGTTTTTATGGTTTCAAAAGCCATGATTGTCACGCGTTTATGCAACGGTTGCTTCCACTTGCTATAAGAGGGTTTGTTCCAAAAGAGATATACGAGGCAATAACAGAGTTGTGCACATTCTTTCGGGTCTTATATAACATGAAGCACACTATTGTTCAAACCATCTGCAAGTTGGAGCAAATATTCCCTCCTGGTTTCTTTGATTCCATGGAGCACCTGGTCATACATCTAGCTGATGAAGCTATTCTTGGTGGTCTAGTGCAATATAGATGGATGTACCAATACGAAAGGTAATAAAACATTTTGCTATCTTATAGATCAAACGTTTTTCAAAATTATGTTTAGTATCCTTAACATATTCTCGGTAATCTCTAAATACAGGAAACTTGGTTTGATAAAAAGAAGAATTAGAAACAAAGCAAGGGTTGAGGGTTCAATCGTCAGGGAACATCTAATGAATGAAATCGCTACCTATTGTTCTCTATACTTTTCTCAGACGATTGAGACACGTCATAATCGAGAGCCTCGTAATTTTGCACCACAACATCCTAGCTCTTCGATTGGAGACTCCCAAATAAGCGTGTTTGTCTTTCCATCGAGAAGGTTATATGAAAAAGGTGGAAAAAAAAGACTTCTAACTCCTCAAGAACTTGATAAAGCGCATACCTATATTCTACTAAATTGTGAGGAAGTCACCCCATACGTCATCGCGTTCGATGAAGTGGCGCCACAAATGTATCCGGATGAACCAATTTCGTGTCTAAGAGATAAATACTTTGCCAAATGGTTTAAAAATCGTGTAAGTAAAACTAATTAAATCATAATGCTTAATATTTACAAATAGTTAACCAATACAATACGTGTGTGTTAATATAGGTAATGATAGACTCACATGAAGGAAACCATAACAGTAAACGTTTGGAAATCTTATCAAGGAAACCATCGCGAAACGCTAAATCTCACAATGGGTACTTTGTAAATGGTTATAAGTTCCATACGCAGGAATATGGCAAGGGACGTGTGACTAATAATTATGGAGTATGTGTGAGAGGGGAGACGTACAACGCCGAGGAGTCTGACTACTACGGCTTAGTGGACGAGATACTAGAGCTTGAGTATCGTGGTAACGGGCCTTCGATTGTTGTAATGTTTAAATGTCTTTGGTTTGATAACAACCGCGGTGTAGTAGTTAACAAAAATAAGCTTGTTGATGTTAAACACAAGTCCCGACTTCAAACTGACGACCCGTTTATCTTGGCATCACAAGCAGAACAAGTGTTCTATACACCATACCCTTGTGTGAATAATGAAACAAAAGATATATGGGCGGTTGTTAAGACAAAACCAAGAGGGGTATATGAAGGAATCGAACCTGAAGCTAAAGTTGCGGATGATGAAAACATAGAAGCAGATGGATTATTTCAGATCGATGAACGATTTGAGTTACCGAATGACATAACTAGTGAACGCCTATGCCTAGTAACACACACAAATCCAATCGGTGAGGATGAAGAATTTGAAGTTGAAGAATATACAAGCAATGAAGCAGATGAAATGGATTTTTCTGACCACGATTCAGACGAAAATGAACTTGATTGTTAGGAACATTGTTTGTTGTTTTCCAATTTAAATTATGTGAGATTTATCATATACCAATGTTCACTTTAAATTATATGAGATTTATCATATTTGTATCTAATCGTTCTTGTTTAATCAAATGCAGGATACACATATTATGTCGGGTAGTCGTGGAAGGCAACCTCGATCACATCACTCTGCTGCTCGTGGTCATGACAGTACTAGTAGTCGACGGCATGACTCTGCTCGTGGTGGTGGTGACAGTACTGGTGGTCGACTACACGACTCTGCCCATGGCCACGACAGTACTGGTAGTCGACCTCAGGACTCCAGTCCTAATGACCGACAGCGACAGGGATGTACACGGCTTACATCGTTGAGTGTTCATGATGCTGAGAACTTAGGTCGTGGATACGCTGGGAGTACTAGTGATGTTGGTATATCTGATCAAATGGACAATACGCAGAGGATAATTAAACGTCGTCGCGTACATGAGGCCCACAATTCTGGCATCGACCCTGACAATGATTCTGAAGAAGAAGATGATGATGATACGCAACGCGACTCAAATGTCACAGATACACCTCATAGATATGGCGATACTAGGCCGTATCTTGAGAAGTTCGGAAAAAAGTATGTCATTTTAATAGTTAAATTTATGTTGCTGACTCATATTATAAAAATAGTTATTTTGTTATATTTCACCGTTGTAGGTTTGCATCCTATCAGGTACATCATCAGATCAGACTTATATTTGATCAATTTTTGGATGGAGCATGGCCCACATTTACTAAGCTTCCGCCTACAGTATTTCAGCAAATGTTTCGTGCTTTTGGGGTAATATCAATTAATAATTGGCATACCTTAGGTTGATTTGTTTTATGTTTGCACTTTTAGCTTTAGTTACTTTTTTAAACAGAAATACTATCGGTGGGATTCGGTAAATGATGGAATGATCGAGAGTGGATTTAGAAGTGTGGTGCAAGATCGTTATTCAGACATAATGAGTGAATATCGACATGAATTTGCAAATAGAGCTCGAGCGGCCGGTCACAACATCCCGAACACAAATAATGACTTTGCAATCATGCGTGATTTTGAGCCTATTAGTTTCAATGAGGACGTATGGAAGGATTTGTGTAAAGTAAGCTAATTAATATATTATTATTTTTTTGTTATTTTTTTTCCTTTTATATATTATCTTACATATTCTTTTTATAGTATTGGGACACAGATGCTTGGAGAAAGAAGTCGGTGGCCGGGAGAGCCAACCGTATGAGCGGTGACGACATCGGTACAGTTTCGAGACATACAGGGGGATCCAGGGGTTATGATCAGTATCGACTGGAATTGGTAATTATGCGAATCAATATTCATATAATTCAGTAATTGGTTTTACTTAATCATAGATTACACTAATTATACTATGTGTTTTATGTAGCAAAAGGAATTGAAGCGTATCCCTACATTTCTGGAACTTTTTCTTATTACCCACGTTACTGCAGAGGCCAAGAAAAAATTCAAGGCTAAAGATTATGATACAATTCAAGAGTTGGAGTTTTGTACACCTACTGCTAGAGCAATATGTGTAATTTATCTTTTCCTTTATAGATAACTAGTGCTTCAACTTGAAATAGTACAATAATAACAATCGTTTTGTTTTGATAAATTGTAGGAGAGATACACTAGTGCCATGGTTGAAAAGTACGGGGAGGACCTAACTCAACATCCAGAGGGTGATGTTGACTTGTGGGTGCAAGCACGCGTATTTACGGGGTAGGAAGTTCAGATCTACATTTCGTTGTCACGGGGACATCATCCAACGGGAACAAACCGACCTCTTCTGAGTACCAGCAGTCACAACAGCGGGTATTTTTATTTGACATAAAAAAAAATGCAAAGTAGATAAAATATGTTGTTATTATAGATAAAAAAAAAATCAAGTTTGTTGCTATTATGGATAAAATAAAGTTGCTGCTATTATTTAAAAAACATAGAAGTATATGGTCTTTGATAATAAATAACAATTATAGTATGTTGGTATTATGAAAAAAGGTAAAATGTTATAATTGATAGAAAATAAAAGTATGTTGCTATTGTATATAAAAATGATAATATGTTGCTGTTATGAATAAGAAAATTTAAGTTCATTCCATTTATAAGTGAAATATATGTTGGTATAATAGATATAAATGTTAATATATATACTTTGTTTTTACTATTTTTTTATGTTACTAATGTATGTATGTTTCTTTTAACATTTTTTTAGGTCCAGGAATTGGAAGAAGCTCATGCCGAATTGGTCCGACAAAATGGTGAAATGGCCAAAAGACAAGCACAAATGGAAAAACAAATGGCGGAAATGGTCGAGTTCATGAGACGATATGACACTAATAATCGTCCCGACAATCCATCCAATCCATCGAATGCTCCTTAGGTTATTTGTTGTAAACGTTTGTACGGTTTTAAGACTTCTATATTATCTTTTTGGTTTACACGATTGTTGAAACTTATGTTCTAAAGTGTAAACATTTGTATGACTTTTAGATATATGGAATGAACCACGTTTTTTTGTATTAGTTCTTTTTCTGCATTTTAGGCTAAATTTTTTGGTTTTTTGTTTTTTATTTTTTTACAGCTGCATTGTTCCTAGGAAATTCCTAGAAACTTTTGTCACGAACAAGTGTCACAAAAAGCTGTCAAGAAAGTTTCCTAAAAGGTTCCACAGAAAAAATTTCCTCGGAGATCCCTCAAAAATAATCCTTGGAAATTCATCAAAAATAAACTTCCTTGGAAATTCGTCGGAAATAAACTTCCTTGGAAATTCCTCGAAAATAATTTTCCTCGGAAATTCATCGGAAATAAACTTCCTCGGAAATCCGTCGGAAATAATCTTCCTTAGAAATTACTCGGAAATGATCTTCCTAGGAAATTCCTCGGAAACAAAATTCCTAGGAAAACCCTCAGTACTTACGACAAAACCATTTCCTAGGTAATGAGTCAGTAAGTTCCTCGAAAATCCCTTACAAAACATTTCCTAGGAGGGTTTTACCGACGCACAGGATTTTCTCGGCATTTCCTCGGAAACGCTGTTTTCCTAGGAATTTCCGAGGAAAATGTCCCTCGGAAATAGCGCTTTTTTTTAGTAGTGTTAGTCCAAAATTACATAAATGAACCTTGTAGTTTATAAAAAATCAGAATGTTAGTCCAACTTTGCACTTCGTTACATGTGCAATCCTCATGATTTTAATTTCTTACATGCTTTTCTTTAAAGCTCATTAGTGTGCAAATTAAAACGATTCAGACCTGTTAGCACATGTGAAAGTAGAATACGAAAAATTTAACAAATCAAAGATTACGAACAACCACTAGCCAGTCAACATAAAATTTCATCACATCTTTTTAAATAAAAACATCGGTAATATACGAATAAAGTTTACAAGGGAACATCAAGGTGAGAACTTGAACTAAACATGACTCTTAATGGAAGAACTATATCCAGATTGATCATCATAATACTTGGACCAAAGCATCACACCTCCATACTTATCTGAACCCTTAATCACCGGAAGAATCTTCGAAGTGAGATCATCAACAGGAATAAACCCACTTCCAGCTGCATCAGGAGCTGCTGGAAGCCCTAAGAAAATCTTTGTGGCTGGGATATCAGAAGTCCATTGCTTCCAAGAATCCTCAATACTACCAATATCTCCAGAACTATACTGACATGGCGGATTGTTAAAAAACTGTACCCAAACATAGTCAAAAACACCGGTTTGAAGTGCAGTTCCTACCCATGCATCTGGGTATGGGCACTGAGGTGCCGCAGTCAAGTAAACCTTCTTTCCACGTTTGCTATATGCAGAGAGGTACTTTGCCAGGTCATCCCAGTGCTTTCCATCTCCACTTTCAATGTCAAAATCAACTCCATCCAATACCGCATCGCCAAATGGACGTGTAGATGACTTTCCACCCAAGAAGTTATTCCAAATGTAAGTAGCAACTTGTCTTGCATCTGTAGAAGAAGCTAGTGAATAGCTCCCAGACGCACCACCAATGGAAAGAATGATCTTGACTCCTTTTGCTTGGCAGGATTTGATGTCTGAGCTCAGTTTGGTGCACCCGTTGCTACTCGGATCACAGTGACCAGCAAGGTTCAGAACAGGAGTCAGACCATTGCCAAAAGAAGAAAGGAAAGCCACGTTTACATATTCATAGTTTCCTGTGGAACAAGCGTCTACCAAAGTTCCTTCGTTCCCATTTTGGCCCCAGTATATGGAGATTCCGCCAGCATTAGAGCTCCTGACAAGTAAAAGTGTCAGCATCAAGGATAGAAAGGCCATGGAGATATTGGATCCAATATCCATTTGCATGTTTGTTTTTCTTTGTTGTTGTTGGTTGGATTGTGTGCTAAAAATGTTGCATGGTTTCTCTTTATATAGGACAATAGGACATGGTGAATTGGTGATGATGATTGTATGATGAGAATGTTTTGTTGTCTTATTATACCCCGTAGCTTAAAAGTTAATGAAATCATGATCTTTTAGTTGTAAATTGGATATTCAAATAAAAGAGTAGTCATGATGTTTGTTCTCTGAATATTATCAAATATTCTTAAATGGGAGCTAATATACGTTGCATTGGTATTGCTTACCGATTACCATTATTAATAATAATTTATTTAGATTGTAAAAGTGTCGTTTTCATGTGTTGTACTAAATAGGATAGATATTTTAGGTGAGCACAATTACATTAACGGTCCATATAGATTACGAGCGTATACCATCTTCAACCCATTTTTATTTTTTCCTTATAAATTGAGTAAAAAGTAGGGTAAATATATAGTGTTTCATCTCCAATCCAATTTTATTTTTTACTTTATTTTTACCCCTAAAAAATATATTCCTAGTATATTCTATTTTTCCAACTTATATAGATTGTCAATTATACCCCTTCTATTAATTTGGTTTTAATAAATATATAATCTATATTTTTTTCATTACAATACTATTAAATAAATAAGATTATATTTATAACACATAATTATAAGCTTTTGTAAAATACATTATCGTATTTTAAAATTTCAATATGTATTTAAATGTTCATACGAATTTGATAAACAAAAAATAAAGTTTATATTTATAATTAATTAATATAATTTAATACATAATACAATATTACAAGTATTAAATAATATATTTAAATTACAATTAGTAGATAAAACAAACTAATAATATATAAATATATAAAAAGATGAACTAAAATTGACACCTCAAAGTTTATATCCATTTTGAGGGAAATGAAGAGTATAACACCAAATGGTGTTATACTATTCATTTCCGCCAAAATGGGAGAATAAATGGGGTAGGGTTGGAGACAAATGGGGGAAGAAATGGAAGAAAAGTTGGAAAATAGGAATGAGTTGGAGATGCTCTTAGTATTCTTTTTCTATTTTCATGCTCATACGTGTTTGTGGTTTGCAAAAAATTATAGATATGGTTAAAAAAACATTCATGTAAACTTCAAAATCAAAAAAAAAATGGTTTTAGTTTTTGGAAAACTATAAAGGACTATTTTGCCCTTATACAAACTAAATTTAAAAAAATCCATCCAACCTGTGTCCCATGCATGACCCTATAATGTAACCCCAAACGCCACCACCAAATTCGTCGGCCATAGTTCCTCCCTACCCATTAGAATCATTTTTACTTGTCGACACAAACACATATACACAAATATCTGCAAATTGAAAAAAATGGGAAAAGAATTACAAGCACACACAAATAATAGATTTAAACACACACATACCAAATCAAAGCTTTGAGGATGTTCCTGATTACTTTTCAAACTGAATTTTTGGACTTTTAACTTTTTCAAAAAAATCAAAAGTTTAAAAAGGTGTTTAGTAATTTCAAAAGTACGATATCCGAAAGCATTTTGTGTTGGTTTGATCTATTTTTGGCTACCTTTTTGGAGCCTTTTTATGATGTTAAAAATTTTAATTTGAATTTTGTTATATATATTTAGAGTAATTTAACAATATATATTATGTTTAATACATTAAAAATGATCATACAATCATTATCGAACATAAAAATATAAAAAGAAATAAATAGATTCACAATTAGATTATTATATTTATAAATCCACTTTGATGTAATTTTGGAACTAAAACTCAAGTTTATTTTATTTCACAATCTTCATATATTAAGAGTTTCAATATTGAGATTATTTAATTTAATTTTCATAATGACTTTAATAATAAAAATTAACAATGACAAATAATTATAAATGATATAAAATTACCTTCAAAACAATAGTTGATATTTTAAATTGGAGTGTGCATAAAACCACACAAACCGCATAAACCGTCCGCACCGCACCAAACTGCAGCATAGCACGGTTTAGAACTTTAGTGGTGCGGTTTGTGGTTTGAAATTTTATTAAAATGCACTTTGCGGTTTATAATTACAAGATTGCGGTCTAAACCGCACCGCATATGTGTGTGTGTGTGTATATATATATATATATATATATATATATATATATATATATATATATATATATATATATATATATTCGGAAATGCATAACTAGATAACCAAATGGTTATTATAGTTTATTCTTATATATCTTTAAATTTTCAAGGTTGCGCGGGTAAGCTTTAACCGATATTTGTTATGATTTGCATCATTGAATATAAAGAACTTCACATTTTTTTCACATGTTATGTATATGTTTTTTGATTCAATGTCATAGTTAAGTACTATCTATGTATTTTAATTATTGTTGTTATGGTATTAATTAATTCTTAATAATATTGTTTTTTGGGGTGTTTGGATAAATAGTTTTTAGCTTATTAGCTTATTGCCTATTTGCTTATTGCGGTGGGAACAGACATTTTTTTAAAATGTGTTTGGATTAGCTTATTGCGGTGGGAATAAGCAATAAGCAATAAGCATATTAAGAGTTTGACAAACAAAACAATTTATATGTATAAAATGACCAATAAGCAATAAGTATCCCCCCCACCTCCCCTTGCTTATTAAAATCAGTTTATTTTGCTTATTCCTACCGTAATAAGCTGATTTTTAAAGACTCTTATCCAAACACTTAAATTTGCTTATTACGGTGGGATTAAACAATAAACAATAAGCTGCCTATTTTTTCTCTATCCAAACACCCCCTTAAAAATCACCTATAATTATAGATCTTGTTAAAAGTGACACTATTAGTCAGACATATAAGTTATACAAATGGATATTGTATCGTCGTATCAATAAACAGAGATAAACTATATACAAAATGTTGCATAAAACTTAATTTTCCACATGTATATCATAATGAAATGCGAAAATGTCATTTTGTAATTACGTATTTAAGATTAATAATATGTTACATCATGTAGGTGATTTTTTCAAACCACAAAACCGTCCGCATTAACCCGCACCGCACAACGCGATTTATAGCCTTCGCGGTGCGGTTTGCGGTTTCCAATAAGCTCAAACCGCATATGCAGTGCGATTTGTGGTTTTGGGTATAAACCGCACCAACCGCACCGCACACACTCCTAAT